GGGAACCGGTCTCCACATGGGATCCGAACCCTCGGTGGGAGCGCCGCCACGCTCCCAAGTGCCACACTCTCCAGTGCGCCACCTGGCTGGCCCTGGAGGAGTTTTTGGAATGGCTTATCTGGTGAAGATGATAGGGGGTCATTTTGGTCTCCTTTTGCAAGGGCATATAGTGGGCGGGCCAATAAAAAGTAATTTGGGATCCATGCTCTAAAATACCCTGCTAGGCCGAAGAAGGATAGAATTTCTGCCTTAGTTTTTGGACTAGGTAGGGACCTTAAAAGCTCCTTCCTATTAAGGGTGATTGCCTTTCGAGAAGGGGATAATTCAAATCCTAGATAAGTGACTTCAGTGAGGGATATTTGGGCTTTAGAAGGTGAAATGTGGGGGCTGGCCCGTGGCTCACTCGGGAGAGTGCGGTGGGAGAGTGCGGTGCTGATAACACCAAGGCCACGGGTTCGGATCCCATATAGGGATGGCCGGTTTGCTCACTGGGTGAGCGTGGTGCTGACAACACCAAGCCAAGGGTTAAGATCCCCTTACCGGTCATCTTTAAAAAAAAAAATGAAATGTGATACCCTTTGTCTGCCAGGAAATTAAGAAGGGAAGCGGTGTCGGCCTGTGATTGTTCTCACGAGGGACTACAGAGCAAAAGGTCATCCACATACTGCAGGAGGGTTGACTGTGGGTGGGAAGAGTGAAAATATTTGAGGTCTTGGGCCAACACTTGGCCAAAGAGGTGAGGGCTATCCCAGAATCCCTGGGGGAGGACAGTCCGGGTAAGTTGTTCAGAGTGTCATGTATTGGGGTCAGTCCAGGTAAAGGCAAATATGTCCTGGGAGACAGGGTCCAGGGGAATAGAAAAGAATGCATCTTTTAAGTCTAGGACTGAATAATGAGTTGTGGAAGCTGCGATCTGGGACAAAAGAGTATAGGGATTGGGTGTTAAAGGATGAATGGGAATAACAGCAGCATTAATTAAGCGGAGGTCTTGGACTAGTCGGTAAGACCCATTTGGTTTTTTTACTGCCAGGATGGGGGTGTTGAATGGTGAGTGGATGTGGCGAAGGTACCCCTTTTTTTTTAGAAGATGACCGGTAAGGGGATCTTAACCCTTGACTTGGTGTTGTCAGCACCACGCTCAGCCAGTGAGCGAACCGGCCATCCCTATGTGGGATCCGAACCCGGGGCCTTGGTGTTATCAGCACCGCACTCTCCCGAGTGAGCCACGGCCCGGGCCGGCCCGAAGGTATCCCTTTTTGAGAAGGTCCTCGACAATGGATTGGAGTCCGCGAAGTGCTGTGGTACTGAGGGGGTACTGAGATTGATTTATATCCTTGGAGGGATCTTTTAGTTTTATCGTAATAGGAACACAATGTGCAGAGGAGGGTGTAGTGGTGTCCCATACAACGGGGTTTACAGGATGTAATAGACCCTCGCTTCCCGGAGGCAACTGTGCCGGAAGCCGGAGGGGCCTAGCGCGCTAGGGTTTACTGGACGGCGGGGGTCCTGGACCCGGTAGGAGGAAGGTTAGATGGGTTCAAGGATGAACCCAGGAAGGAGGAAGGTTAAAAGGAGTGAGAGAAAGAGAGAGGGAGGAATGGGACGTTCAGCCTCCGGGGCCGGGAACGCGTCAATGCCGGGGGAATGTGATTAGGGTGAAGGTTTAAATAACCTACAAGCCTGACAAAAGGAAAAGGGGGCTTACCTAACAGATGAGCCGGTGGTGGGTGAAGGAAGCCAGAGCCGGAGAAAACGGACGGGGCGGACTGTCAGTCCCGGGGGGTCGCGTAGGAGTCCGAGGAGGCCCAAGGAAGGAGTCCCCTGTCGCAGGGTGAACTCCTTCCCGGGTTTCGGCACCAAATGAAGGGGCGCACAGACGAAGGAATCACGTGAAACCCGGGCTAATAGTTCGCCAGAGCAGTTCCGCTTTATTCAAGGACTGCGCGTACATTTATAGGGTGCTGTGCTCCGGGGCGGGAGAGAGAGTGGACGGGGCGGTAACTGATTGGACGGGGCTGGGCAGGAGGTGAGCCTTGACCTGTGACTGGCTGAGGTTTGGCGTGGGTGGGCTTGGGTGTTGGCGCCAGCGAGCTTTTTACTGCGGAGAAGAACCAGGAAGGGCGCCATATTGCCAGGGTGTATCCCTGTTCAGGCGCCCATGGAGGTCCCTACAGTGTCCTACATCCAGGACGGCCCCACCACAGAGAAGGTTCCAGCCTCAATGTCAGCAGTGAATCCATGTGCTAATTATAAGGGGAAAAAAGGAGTCTGGTCCCTGCTCACAGGACACTAGAATAAACTCCCGATGGGGCAGACAGTACAAACCAGGGCGACCCCAGCTTCTGGGATTCACCTCTCTACCTCCCTACTCAGTGTGTGGATTTAAATGTGTGCAGAGGAGCTGGTCGGTTAGTTCAGTGGGTTGGAACGTGGTGCTGATAACACCAAGGTCCTGTACCAGCCCACCTGCCAAAATACATACATTAATTTTTTTCCTTCTTTTTTGTCTTTTTTTTTTTCATGTCCGGCAACGGATTGCAACCCTAAGTGTCGCGCCCAAACCGGACCGGGACCGGCAACGGGATCGCAACCCTCGGCGCTGCGCCCGCACCTCGCTCAGCCAGTGAGCGGGAACCGGTCTGTATGTGGGATCCGAACCCTCGACGGGAGCGCCACCGCACTCCCAAGCGGCGCACTGTAGCAGTGCGCCACCAGGCCGGCCCCTAATTTTTTTAAAAAAAGGTATTTGCAGCATCCTAGATGTCATCACTCCCCCTCTGAAACCTTCCATGGCTCCCTGTTGCTGGTGGCATCCTGTGGGGCATTTGCTACTTCACCCAAGGGGTCTCAACTGGGGTGATTCTGCCCCCAGGGGACACTGGGAGATGTCTGAGGACATTTGTGGCTGTCATGACTGGGGGTGCTCCTGGCACAGAGTGGGTGGAGGCAGGGATGCTGCTCAGCAGCTGCAGTTCCCAGGACGCCCCACCACAGAGTCCACAGTGCCAAGGGGGACCGGTATTGTGTGGCTACAGGTCACACAGGAAAGAGAAAGTGCTATTTTAAGAGTTCTTTTCCGGCGTGAATTCACAGGCGACTGGGGTGCTGAGGAGCAGGCGGGACTCCCTCGGCCTCACCCCCTCCCTCTAGAAGGCAGCTGTGGCACCAGCAGGCACACCCTGGGGCCTGCACCCTCCCAGGTGGCCAGAAACGCATTCCTTCAACTTCCCCGAGATGGGCGAGTAGAGCCGTGTCCCCGTGCACAGACAGAGGGAGCTCCTGGGACCAGAGGAAGCCCTTGGGGCAAACCACAGTTGCTAACGGGCACTGAATTGGTGAGGCTGAGGGGAATGAACAGGCCCCCGACAGCATCTGCTGCGCCCCCTTCTGCCCCGGGAGCTGTGCCTGTGGTGTGCTGTGCAGGGCTCTGGTTGTGGAGGAAGTCGCAGGTACCCCACTCAGGAGCGTAGAGTGGATGCCACTGGCAGCTGGGAGCCATAGAAGCTTTCAGAGGGGGAGGGACAGGCTCAACACTGAGCAGACATGGGCAGCCCAGTGGACCAAGGCTGGAGGCAGGGGACCAGGGAGAAGCCAGGTGCAATAAAGGTCTGGAGCCCTGGAGGCCTGGATCATCCTCTTCCCCGGGGAGCCAATCCCATCCCACTTCTGAGTCACCCGGGGCCCTTGTCACAAGCGCAGGTATCCAGCCTCCCCCGCAGAGCTTTGGACCAGTGGTTCCAGAACGAGAAATCCGCACCAACAGGCACCCCACACCGCCAGACAGGCTGGGCCCTCATGATGGGGACACCGACAGCACCGTCTCAGGCCAAACCTCTCTGACCCCTCTCCCCATTCATTCATAAGCCACCTGAAAGATTCCGGGGGATAGCCGAAGATCGTTACAAAATGTCACATTTATTGCTACAGTGCTGTTACGTACAGGACAGGTCTCCAGAGCGACTTCAAAGAGGATCATTTAAAAATCCAAAATAATCCAGCCAGCTGTGTTGACATGTATAAAAAGTATTTTTCTTTAAAAAAAATTTTTTTAAACCAGTTATCTTTAGGCACTCAGAGCACAATTTCCCCCTCAAAACTGTGGTTATTCCCCATCCCCAATTGCTGTTCTTTTCTTGTGCTGGGTTAATCTCACTATATATAACTTAAATTATATATATAATACAGTCCCAAAGTCGACAGGGCCTCAGAGGCTCCTTGGCGGCTGCCCATCGGGACTTATGGGCAGGACCAGAAGCTAAAGAAGAAGGAAACCGAGGCAGGTTTGCTAAAAGAGACAAAACCCACATGGGGCAGGAAGTCACCGGGGCAGGAAGTCACCAAGACAGGAGCATTGGCCAGTTTCCCTCTGCCCGCTGACCTGTCCCGGGGGCAGACCCCAGGGCTGCTGAATGGGGAGGTGAGGGTCGCCAGCGCCTCGAGCTGGCCTTGGGGTCCCACTTGAACTTCCCATGGGCCTCAGCCTTGGGGAATTCCAGTCTGGGGAGGGGTGGCCAGGCGGTCCGGCTCTCCTGCAGGCAGCAGTGGGGGTCTTGGTAGAGACGCACGGGGGATGCTGGTGGGGTGAATGCAGCCAGCCTGGGGATCCATAAGGCCTTTATGCCAGGTGTGGGGGAAGGGAAAAGGAAGGCCCCCAGCAGTCCTGACCCACAGAGTGACCATCGCCATGGTTTGCTTGAGACCGAAGGGGTTCCAGGGACATTGAAACTTAAGTTTTAAGCCCAGGACAGTCCTGAGCAAACCGGGATGAGTCAGTCCCTCTCAGGACACGAGACCAGTAAGGAGGACTTGGAAAGAGGCCTGAGTACTGGGACACGAAGCAGATGGCCTGAGGTGGCCCACCCTTAGTCTTCCAGATGACATGGTTAGACAAACCACTGGGCACCTTCTGGGCCACAGAGAATCCACACCTTCCCCCTTGCTCTGGCCACACTCAACCTTGAGCCCTGTGCACGTGGCCAGGGCAGCAGGTGTGGCCCTGGGGTCAGGATGCTCCTCAGAGTGGGCGGAGGCTGATGGAGCCCCCTGGCAGCCTGTCCCTGCCAGGATGGCCATTCAGGGGCAGGGTTGATCCTGGTCCCCTCAAAGTCAGGTCCCCAGGTGAATGGAATGAAGAACAGGTAGTCCAGGGACACTCCCAGCACTGTGCTCTTGGGAGTGGTTTCTGTACCAGAGATCATTGGTCCCAACAAAGTCCCTCAGTTCAGAGACGTGCGGGTCCCAGGGAGGGATGTTGGGGTGCGGCAGGTGCCTTGGGGGCCAGAGCTGCCTTGACAAGGACCCTTGGCTGTGTCACCTGGAGGATCCCGACCTCCCAAGACCTCCCTTCCCCGCAAGACCAGGAGTGAGGGGTACTGATTGCTGAGGGTGGAGGAGGATGGAAAAGGGCCCAAAGGACACCTCCCACCAGGGAAAGGCCCCCAGCCCTTCACACAGAACAAAACCAAGAGAACACCGCCCCCCCCGCCATCTGAAAAGCAAAACATGAGCGAGAACCCCAGCCAGCCCCCGCCTGGGTTCTGTGCAGCGGCTTCCAGAGCAGAGGGGTGGGGGGACCTCAGGTTTCCATCCGGTCTTTTTAACACAACTTTTAATAATCTGGTTGATCATGAAATGCAACGCTCAGTTCTAGAAACAGCAGCAGAAATAGCAAGACATGAGACTTTTATACAAAAAAAATTGTTGCTTACAAAACATATGCAAAAAAAGCTTAAAAAAAAAAGACCAAAGGCATCATTCTCGCTAATTTTCTTCTACATTAAAAAAAAAAAAAATTGTAACTAATGTTCTTTTACTTTTCTTTAAAAAAAAGTCTGCTTAGGCACAATTTGCTGGTGGCTTTTGAAGAACAAGCCAGGTTTGCACAGCGTCTCCCTTGGGTGATATGTTTCGGTTCCTCTACGTTTTGTAGTTAAGGCATCTTTTTCTTTCTTTTCTGACATGTGTTTTGTTGCTTGCTTTCCGGTTTTGTTTACCAAAAAACAAAAAAAGCTCCTTTCCGTCCTGGCAGTGGAGCCAAGATACAGCTTCAGGATCCACGGGGCACGTCGCAGGGTGTCAAGGTGGCAGAGACTTGGGGAGCGGGACCAGCCAGGGAGCCCGTGGGCCTCCTGGACCCGGTGACCCCATCCCTCAGAGCCTCATTAGCTCAGGCATTGGGGCTCGATGCCAACGACGGCTGGCTGTGGGGTGCGGACCATCCGGCCCATTTCACGGATAAACACCTGACACCTCACGGGGCCGTTGTGGGTTACACCTGAGCCCAGGACGCAGGGCTGAGGCTGGGTCGTTCGTCCGGTGGCAGCATACCTCTCACATGTGCCCAGTGGGGTTGTGGGCCTCGCTCAGGCCCGGGTGGGCAGCAGAAAGCACCATCTGGGGGTCGCCGACCACACCTGACACCTTCTCCTCCTCTCGCCGCTTCAAGCAGGCCGCTTTGGGGTTCAGGTTACGCTCTGCGGGGAGGGGAAAGCACTGTGGGAGAGGGTCCCCAGGAGCAGTAGGATGGGAGGTGGCAGTGGGGGTGTTGGGGAGGGTGGGAGAGAGCACCAGACTGTGTGGCTGTTTCTTGCTCATCTCCTTCCTCAGGAAGGCTGTGGGGAGCCTGGGAGTGTCGTAAAGAAGAGCCCAAATTAGGGTGTGCCTGAGGTTCGTCGCATGGCCTGAATCCAGCCACTAAGAGAGAGGTGGACAGAGAAGGACCAGAGCCAGCCGGCATGGGTCTCCCGGCAAAGCGTGCTGCTGTGCAGAGGCCCCTGACATCTGTACACGGGCAGGGGGACAGGAGGACGGACGTTGGGGATGCCCTGGCCTGGGAGCCTACCTCGCACCTGCTGCTCCAGGCCCAGGATCACCTGCACGGCCTGCTGCAGGATGAGAAGTTTGGTCTGCGCTTTGTCCGACTTGAGGTGCATCTGGCACATGCGCCCCAGCTCCCGGAAGGCCTCGTTAATATCCCGCACGCGCACCCGCTCCCGTGCGTTATTGGCCATGCGCCTCTCCCGGTCCCTCAGGTCTTTCTCCTCCAGGGACAGCACCTCCTCCGTACTGCTGGGTCACAGCATCGGGGCCTCTGTTAGTGACGTGATGGGGGCCAGCGGGTGGATGGGTGGGCAGGGCCGGGGTGTGGACAGGGTATCTGGCTGTGTGGGTGTGGGTGTGGGCAGTGGTGCGGGCCCACGTGCTGATGCGTGTGCACATCTGTGAGAACGGGCTCATCTGTGTGCACAAGGACTACGCTCCCATGGAGTGTAGCAGAGACCTGCAGCTGTGCGCCTTTCTGTGTGCGCAAGAGGCCGCGGGAGCGTGTGCCCTTGAACCCAGCTCTACGGAGGCTGTGTATATGGTGATGCCCAAGAAATGCCTTGACTGTTCCCAGGACATCTACATGAGGAGATGCAGGGCCTTGATTTCCCTGTCTGTGAATCTACAGGTCCTCCCTCATGCCAGCGCCCTAGGACAGGGCCAAAAAGGCAGGGGAGTCCCAGGGCCCCTGCCCTTCTCTCTACTCTGGAGATGACGACCTTCCCCATTCAGAGCAGCTACTTGCTGGGTAATGTGAGCTGGGTACGGCTGGGCCCCCCACAAGCCCAGGACTATGGACCCATGAGGAGCAAACCAGCCCACATCCTGTGATATCCCACACCCTGGTGGGGATCCTCAGAACCGTGTCCCCCGATGGCGGCCTCTGGCTGCCCCAAGAGCTGGGCCTGGAGGAGGCCCTCAGCCTCGGCAAGCCCTCTGCATGGGATGTGCAGTGTCAGGTCTCCAGGAAGCCTGCTGTCATCAGCACAGTGAGCAACCCCAGCTGCCGCTCTGGTTAACTGAGCACCTGGTCTGTACCAGGATGGTGCTGAGACCCCTTCTCATGCCAAGGAGTCCGAAATGGGAGATGAGACGCCTGCCTGTCAGGGGCCAGATCCCAGCACAGGCCTGTCTAGCTGTGTGGCTCTGAACAAGTGACTTCACTCTCTGTGCCTCAGTCTCCTCCTTGGGAGAATGGGTGCTAATCACCATTAGGGCTCCTGCTGCTCTGGGTCGCGGCAAAGATAAACCACATGGACAGAGGCTTGGCCCAGTGCCCAGAACTCCCCTGGTGGCCTGTCCTGCCCCCTGGGTGGGGGGTGCTGCCACTGCCCCACCCACCTGTCCCGCCTACCCCGGGGGCCTGAACCCATCCCTCCAGGTGGCGGCCCCGGAGCCCAGGACAAGCGCGCAGACCAAACTGACAGTGAGAATCGGAGGCTGGCATGTTCCCGTGGGTCTCTGTTCGTCCCTCAAGTCCCAACTGCGGGGCTTTGGGGGAGGAAAGGCCCTGTGGTCGCGGCCCCGGCCATTCCCGGTGCCCGGGCAGCAAGTGCGAGGTGAGGAGGGGCCGCCGGGAGGAGCAGAGGAGGCGCACGGGCTGGGATGGAGGGGACAGCGCGAGAGGCAGAGAGCAGAGAGGCAGGCTCAGGGACACGGCACGAGATGCACACCGCCGTGCAGATGCGGAAACCTCAGAGCCAGGGGACAGCAGGCAGGGTGGGCCGGGCTCCGGCTCCAGTCCAAGCAACAGTGCTGCATGAGAGAAAGGGTTAACGGGCCACGCAGGAGAGGAAGGAGTTAAGAGGCTGCAGCAGGAGTGGGGGAGGGGAAGGCGGAGCCAAGTCATATCTGGGGGTGGGCGTGGGGTCCTCTCCATCCTCCATTCTCACCCAGCCCTGGGGACGGGGGTGATGAACACCCACTCGCAGATGCAGAAACTGAGTCAGGGAGCAGGCCATGGGCTTGAGTGGCCCCACATGGCAGCTGCTGAGGGCCAACCATCCAGGGTGGTTTATGTACCACCTCAGGGGGCTGGGAGCCCCCCAAGTCAGCCTCTAGGCTTCCTGAGGAGGAAGGGCCAGGTGGGGGCTGCTGGGGTCCAGAAGGTGTCCGGCAGGGGACACTGAGGCCAGGCAAGGCAGTCAGGAGGGGACAGTCTGTGCGGGGAAGGGCTGGCTCCAGGAAGCAAGGGGACAGCGGGGGCGGGGCGGCCCCACTGCCCTCGCCCCTGCCGCTCCAGGTTGAGGATGACCGACACGGCCTGGTGCAGGATGAGCAGTTTGGTCTGGGGCTTCTCACTGTTGAGGTGCAGCTGGCACATGCGCCCCAGCTCCTTAAAAGCCTCATTGATGTCGCGGACCCGCAGCCGCTCGCGGGCATTATTGGCCACCCGGCGCTCCTTCTCCCGCTCGGCCTTCTGCTCTGGGGGGAGAAGGTCGTCCTCGTCCTCGTCTGGGCTACGGGGGAGGGGGCCGGGGGGCCAGAGGGAGACAGTGAGGTCGGGGAGATGCCCCGGCACAGGCGCGGGGCGTGCGTGTGCATCCTGGGGGGACGGGGCAGGGGCCAAGGAGGGGCTGGCACCTGGTCCGGGTCCGGGGGGCCTTCAGGTCCTTCTTCTCCTCCTCCGAGTTGTCGGCCACTGATGCATTTTCCTCATCTTCCTTCTCCTCCCGCTTGATGTCACCAGTGCCTGCTGCAGTGCCCGCTCGCCCCCGTCCTGCAACAGGCCTGGGTCAGGGCAGCGCCAGCCTGCAGGCCTACCTGACAAATCCCTTGTGCCCCTCGCGGGAGGGGCGTGAGCACTCCTGGAACAGCCTGGGCTTTGTTTGCAAGAACAAAACAAGCCACCACGCTGACCCCCAGAACAGGATCCCTACCTCACACCATATGCAGCTACCAATTCCAGACAGAGGACTGAAAAATGAGAGGCAAAACTTTACAGCCTTTCGAAGAAACACATGGAAATTCTCTTAAAATAGTGGGGAACTACTTAAAATACTAAAAGAGGTGTTTTCTTATTGGGAGAAGAAAGTCATTTAAGTTGTTTCTTTAAAAATATGAAATGAGGCTGGCCAGTTAGCTCAGTAGGTTAGAGCCTTATAACACCAAGGTCAAGGGTTTGGATCCTTGTAATGGCCAGCTGCCAAAAAGAAACGTGTAGTGATCAACGTGACTATATCAGAATTGAGGACTTCTGATTACCAGAAGATACCACCACCAAAGTACAAAGGTCAGCCACAGCACAGAAAATACTTGCCACAGGAGCTGGCCACATGTTTGGCTGGTTAGAGTGTGGTGCTGATAGTACCAAGGTCCAGGGTTCCATCCCTGTTACTGGCCAGCCACCAAGAAAAAAGAAGGTACTTGCCACCGACAAAGATATGTAACAAAGAACTGGTCTCCAAAATATATAACGAGCCCCTAGCAATCAACAAGACAAGGACAGGTAGCTCAATAGAAAAATGGGCAAAGCATACGAACGGGCATTTCAGAGACAAAGAAACCACACGTGGAAATCCACTTCCTCACAACAAAAGATTAAGGAAATGCCACTGAAAACCAAGAAGAGCTACCTTTTCACACCCATTAAGCTGGTAAACTTGAGAGGACTCAACTCAAAATACCACTCGTGGGAGGGCGAGGTGGTACAGCCACTCTAGAAAACCACCAGGCATTCCTTTGAAAAGGGAGACCCACGTGTATCGAGAAATTTCAGAACGTGATGACACACTCTCGTGCAAGTGCACTGGGAGACACGCACGAGAACATTCAGGCAGCACAAAAGCACTGAGTGAGAACCAACCTAACACCCCACGTCAGGGCCAGGGCCGCCCCACTGCAAGCAAACCAAGATGCAGAAGACCATGCCAGCAGGATGCCATCCTTAGAAAGCTCAGGCACTCCAAATGCAAGCCACATGGCTTAAAGGGACACGGTCAGGCTCACCTCAGTTACTCAGACACGCCGTCGGCAAAATGCCAACTGTGAGAAACAGACAAATCTCAAGGTACTGGCCAGTTTGCTTGGCAGGTTAGAGTGTAGTCTTGTAACACCAACATCAGGAGTTCAGACCCCGAACAGACCAGCCACCTCTCCCAATCCCCGCCCCCCAAAAAAAACTCTTAAGGAAAAGAAGGGAATAAAAAGACTACAGTCATGGTCCCTTCCCCCTCGGCACTGTGGACACTGGGGCCAGATCCTTCCCTGTGGTGGGGCGTCCTGGACACTGCAAGTGCTGCACCCACTCCATGCCAGGAGCACCCCCCAGTTGTGACAACCACAGATGTCCGCAGATGCTGTCTCCTGTCCCCTGGGGCAGAACTTCTGGCCTGAAGTGGTAAATCAAGAAACTCAAGAAGTACTGACTGGAGAAGTCAGACTGGCTGTTGAGGCCAGGGTCCGGGACCTGGATCTCAGTGATCCCACCTTCTCAGCGTCTCGTATCTCAGACGTTTAACAACCCCAAGGGCTGGCTCATTAACTTGGCTGGTTAGAGCTGATAACACCAAGGTTACGAGTTTGGATCCTTGTACTGCCCAGCCGCCAAAACAAAAACAAAAACAAAAACAAAAGATGAAACCCCCAACTATCCCAAGGCCCATGTCCAGATTTGCCCCCAAACCTGTTCCTCCCATCTCCTTCCTTATGTGAGTACCCAGCCCCACTGTTATGAGCTGCTCTGGCCAGAAATCCCAGGGCTGTCCTGATTCCCCTCCCACCCCACATCCTGTCCATCTGCATATCCTGTGGGCTCCACCTTCAGAACACCCAGAACCCACCCATGTCTCACCCCTCTGCAGCCCCACCTGGGCTGGACCCCAGCATCACTCCCGGATCAGCCCCGTTGCCACCACGGTCTGTTCTCCCTGCAGCCACCAGAGGGCGCCTGTGATTACTGAGTCAGACACATCTGTCCTCTGCCAACAGTCCTCCACCCAGAACCCACCCATGTCTCACCCCTCTGCAGCCCCACCTGGGCTGGACCCCAGCATCACTCCCGGATCAGCACCGTTGCCACCACGGTCTGTTCTCCCTGCAGCCACCAGAGGGCGCCTGTGATTACTGAGTCAGACACATCTGTCCTCTGCCAACAGTCCTCCATGGCTCCCACCTCCCTCAGGGTAGAAGCCCAAGTCCTCCCCGTGGCCACAGGACCCTGCACGACCTGCCCCGTTCCCTCCCTGCCCCCCCCGTCACTCTGCTCCAGCCACACGGGCCTCCTCGCTGTTCCTCCAACATGTCAGACTTGGTCCTGCCCCAGGACCTTTGCACAGTCTGTGCCCACTGCTCAGATCACTCTTCCCCCAGGCACCTGCCTGTTTTCTCCTCCTCCCAGGCTCTGCTCAACCATCACCTTCTTGCCTCCCAGACCACCGTCTTTAAAACTACAAAACCCCCCTCGCAACCCTCTCCCCCATCCTTGCCCTGGCACTGGTCCTGCAGTGAGCTCACCACCTCCTGCCCAGAGAGGCTTCGTATGTTTCCTTCCCTGTGCCCAGTACTTGCAACAGCGCCAGGGTCACAGTGGACACCACACACATGCCTGTCATGGGAGTTCAGTCAATGGTGCCTGTTGAACGTGTGCGTGAAGAGGTGGTGGCCTCGAAGCCATGAGAACCAGCTGCTCGGAGGCCAATGCCATTGACCACTGGCCCCACCTTCCCTCCCAAAGACGCTGACTGGGGTATCCTGTGTCCCTGGGTGTCCACAAGGGAGACTGCACCCATCCCAAGGTGCCGCCCGAGAAGTGGGGGGACCCCTTCCCTCCCCACATGATAAAGGAGCTGCCCTGCTGGGATCCTGGGTGCCCTGTCCCGGGTCCCAATCCCTGTAAGAGTGAATGACAGCAGATGGACTAGGTGACACTTTATGTCCCTGGGGTATCCCCCGACTCCCACAGCACCTCAGTTTCCCCTGCTGGAAATGGGGTCAGACAGTCCTGAGCCCGCAGGCTGCTGTGAAGGTTTGGCAGGTGGCATGGAGGCCGAGTCACAGCCCTGTGCCTGGCAGGGAGAGGGCTCTTGGCCAGCGGGCAGTTACTGGTCCCTTGGTGACAAGAGACTCTGCTGTCCCCCATTTTCCAGAGAAGGTAAGTGGCTCAGAGGGGAGTGACGATTGCCGCTGGGCCCCGCAGCAGGAACTGGGGAACAAGGGACCCCACAGCTCGGCGGATCCTGCCAGGCCCCAGAGGGACTTACCGCTGTAGGAGTCAGGTGGCCGCGAGAGCTCGGGGAGGCTACTGGGCTGGCTGGGGAGGGTCGCGTGTGAGTGCATGAGGCTGGCACTGCTCGCGAGACCATCCTCCGCGTGGCCGCCTCCTACCTGCGGACAGGGGAGGTGACATGTCAGTGCTGGGCTGGGGTCACCGCCGTACCTTGCCCTGCCCTGCCCCAGTGCTCACCAGGCCGGTGTGCCGCCCACTCAGCGGCAGGGGGCCCGTGAAGCCTGAGACCAGCGCCCCGTGGCCGGGCAGCAGCCCATGCATGTCGCCTGCTGAGCCCACGGCGTGGCTGCGGAGCACGTGGATGGCTTCGTCCAGGTGGTCTTCCATCTTGTTCTGCTGCAGGGGGGCAGGGCAGAGGAGCTGAGGGGCCTGGGCCACTGGGCCCCCGTCCCACCCCAACTACAGCCACTCTGGCACATAAGCATCAGATGGTCCCATTTCGCTCCTTCCCCAAGAAATCCAGTGTTTTGGACCAGCTCTAAATGTGTGCCTCTGCCCACTGCAGGGCCACAGCAACAGCTTTGGGCGTTATTCCCAAAAAACTAAATAGTTCCTTCTTCTCTGGGGGCATCTGCCCTTCTGCATGGTCTGCTGGTCACTCGGTGGACACAGGCCAAGCAACCCCCACCCTAGCTGAGGAAGGCGGAGTTTGCAGTGGGGCAGGAAAGCTCACCAGGCTGTGGAGACCCCCATCGTAGCTGGGTGATAAGGCACCAGGGGCTCCTGCTCGGGGCCACTGTGACGTCCCTGGAAGGGGCAGGAGGTGTGTGAATGGTAGAAAGACAGGCAGAGAGTGGACTCAGTCTGACCCTGGCTCTGCATCCCTGCTAGGTCACTATGGAGGAAAAAATCTGAATGGCCCGTAAGGCTGGCTGGGGAGGGCCTGTGTTGCCCAAAGTGGCCACACGGGGGTGCCTGCCACTCGCAAAGGCTGGGCACGGCTTTGAGTTCAAATCCCACCTCTCACTGGGCTGGGGGAGCTTTGGTTTCTTCATCTACAAAACCCAATCCCCTGAGGGAAGGCAGCTCAGAGGCACACAGAAGGTACCCCAGACAGTGGCTCCCCCTGTCCTGCCCCACCCTGGCTAACCCTCTCTGGAGTCCAGCAGCAGGCCAGGAAATGACTAACTCCAAGGGGACCGAACAGGCAAAATGAGAGTTCCTGAGGCTTCCACAGGACAGAGAGGAGGACTCGGGGGTATTTTTAACACAACTGTCAGGACTTTCAGAACCTCTGCTCTCACTGCCCCTCATGCCCAGCTGATGCCCAGGAGCATCCCACCAGGGAAGGGAGGATCTGTCCCTTGCCAGAGCCAAGCACAGGGTATACAGCTGGCACCTAATTAATATCTGTCAGGTCAGCAGATGACAACCTTTGTCCTTTCCAGACTCCAGGCCAGAGCCTCAGCCCTGCTCCCTGGCTCTAGGGCCCTGGGCTCCGGCCCCAACTGGCTCCCATGTGACTGGGAGCTGCTGTGACGTGCCAGTTTCCCCTCAACTTCATGCAGGGTGAACTACCGAGTCCTGCCTGCTACCTTTTGTCTGTGATCTAACCTGGATGCCACCTCCCAGCCCGTTCTCACTACCTGGTTGTGTGCTGTGGCTCTGGAGGACTAGCTTGGATGCCACCTTCAGGGAACCTCCCTGGATTGCCCAAGGGCGCATGAGCTTGTGAGGGATCCCGCCCCACTGTCTCACTGCCTGACCCTCTGGAATGACCTGATCCTTCCCCACTTGCCTGCCTGAGCAGGAACGCAGGCACCAGACCTAGCCTCCCCCACCCCCAGCACCCTGCACAGACCTGCCAGACCCTGTGGGGAGCCCACGGGAGTCGAGGGGCTGGAGGAGAAGTTATTGCTTGAGTGATCTGGGGAGTAGATCTGCAACAGAGATGAAGAGAGAGACGGTGCAGTCAACAGACAGTCTCTTGGTGCCACTAGCCCGGCCTCCCCAGCCACCCCCAATACCCCGTGCCTCACCGAGGCCAGCGCCTTCCCGAGGGCATCCCCGGAGCTGCCGGCTGTGGTCCCACGAGAGCCTGTGTGAGAAGCGAGGTGAGGCCCAACCTCAGGGCTGCCTCCCTGATACCTAAGTCCAGCGCTGGGCAGGGCAGCCCTGGTCTCGGCTGGGTCTCTGCCCAACACCTGGATGCCTGCCCCATAGGGTGGAGGCTCTGGGGACAGGCAGGATCCTGGGTGAGCAAGACCCCTCTGAGCCTCAAGTTTCCCCAGCTCCTCAAAGAGCTGATTTTACACACTCCTATACCCACTGCACAGGGTGGGCCTGACACAAGGTAGGCGACATTAGTAACAATAAAGACCAGACTCCAGTACTCCCAGGAAAACACTCCTGCACCCACTGAGGTCAGGGGGCTACATCCCTGACCATACCCAGGGGTGGCCATACCCATGAGGCTGTCAGCCCCGCTGACAGGTGGCGTGTGGCTGGAGATGCTGCTGTAGGCAGCCCCAGCGGCCGAGGAGAAGCTGGACACGGCTGGGAGCCCACCATTCACCTCCGCTCCCTGCAGCTGGTAGCCCTGCAGTGGAGGCAGTGGAGATGGTGGAGGAGAGTGAGATAGGGCTGCCGCCAGCCCGCCCACCCGGCCCGGCCCCTGACCCTACCATGCGCTCGTGCAGGCCACCAAAGGCGCCCCCACTGCTGCTGCCCACAGAGCTGCCACCACCTGCAGGGAGGGGCAGGGGGGATGAGCCCCCACCCAGCATGGGCCCGAAGCCTGCCTGGCCTGGGGGACTCCAGAGCTCGGCTGAGGGGTGCAGGCTGCCATCTATGGAGAAAGAACAGTGAGGTGGAGGCAGGTGGTGGCCCCGGACCCTGTCCCAGCTGTCCCAGACAGGACCCCACATACCTGCCATGTAGAAGGGGGTGGGGTAGGTGCTGCTGGGGGTCTTGGCAGATGGGTAGGCAGCAGTTTCCCTGCCATAGTCGTCACCTGAGCTGGGTGGGTACACCTGTGGGTAGGCAGACCAGTCAACCTTCATCCCTTGACTGCCCCTTCCCAGTCCTGTCCCCACTCCTGGAAGACTGACCACTCACCACCCCATTTCCCTGTCCTGCTCTAAACCCTTTCCTCTAAAACCACTCTCGCTTTGGATAACTGCCAGACCCTCAGCCTGCAGTGTGGGCTTCTGAGAGCCCCCATCTCGCTCTACAGCTCCTTTTCTCACCCCCACCTCCTGCTTCCCCCCATTCCCCAAAGTTCTGGTCTCTTGCGCCAGAGGCCTTTGAAACTGGCCTCTGCCCAGAAGGCTTTTTCCCTCCTTAATCACGCAAACTCCTATTGACCCTCAAAAGCCCCAGCTCCAATGCCGCCAGCCCTTCCTTCTTCCATGTTCCCCATCTGGGATCAGTGCTGGAACCTTCCCAGGGCCCAGGTTGGACCACACAAGCCCCTGGGACCCCAGAGTCAGGGCCCTACGGTGACATGCAATGCTGGCTGCCCCCAAGCAGCACGGCACAGAGGTTCTATGAGCAGTGCCCACTCTGATCAGCCAGCGCTGCCTGGAACCATGAGGCCAGGCTCAACAGGGAAGCCTTGGGGTCCAGGGGTTCCGTCTGCCCTAGCACTGGAGGGCGCTCGGCTCTGGTGCTGCAGGAAATTGCAGTGGGAGGTAAGGGCAGGGGAAGACGGGGCCTGAAGGAGCAGGGAGAGGTGCAGAGTAGAGCCTTAAAGCAGAGTGAGTCTGACTGCGCCTTCCATCTACCCCAAACCTGGACCTGTGTGAGCTGGGGCAGCCCAGGGGAGGGGTGCGTGGCCAGCCTGTGGGCCCAGTGCAGGAAGCCAGGCAGAGGGGGCGGTGGCTGAGCCAGGGAATCCAGCAAACTGCCTTTTCTTCCAACGTGATTAAATAGCAGGAGTGTGGTGCTGCAAGCCACTGATGGCCCAGCACCATCTGCCGGGTCTGGCATCCTGCCAACCACAGAGTGGCAGGGATGGGCCCCTCCAAACCGGCCCAGAGGGCGGCTCCTTCCTGCGCTCTCTCACAGGACCCCCCTGCCCTTTCCAAGGAGGCCTCAGCCACAGGACTCAACTTTCTCTTGAAGCAAAAGAGATCATGGCTGGACCTCAGGAAGAACTTCCCTGACATGTCCTGGAGGTGGCCTCTGGTCAGAGCTGGGGCCTTAGGGCACATACTGGCTCAGCACCCACGAGGGGTCCACCCACATGCAGTGGGTCACATGAGCCCACATGCGGCCCGGCACCCCCACCAATGTGCTGTGATCTCTGGTGGGAAGGGCCCCCTGAGCCTCGGAGACATGAGAGGTGCGTGGCCCGTGGGGCACCCTGCTCCATCCCACAACTCACCGAGGACGGGAGACCCGGTGGCACCTTCCGTACCTTCTTGGGCTGCGTGTCTGTTGGGAGCAAAGAGAGAGCGGCACCCTCCAGCGGGCCCCACCCGCCCAGGACAGAGCCAGCCTGCCACCCCCCTGGGGACAGGGGCAGGGTGGTCATTAGAACAGCCTCTGCGCTACAGTCTGGAGAAAAGACCCTTGCATTTCCCACATAATAAAACCACTAAAAACTCCAAGTCCACCTACAAGAATTCAAAGATGCAAAAATACTATGCAAGGGTTGGGGCCACAGCCGCGTGCTGCCTCCTTGGTTTGTTCTCACTCTTAAACAAGGCTTCTTTCGTCAGTCTACTGAGAGCCACGATCCTCCACATTTTTGTGCGTTATGTTGGAGATTTTGCACAGTGCTGAGCCTCCCAGAGGAAAGGCGTATATCAGGGAAGCTGCATTCAGGCGCGAGCGACAGTGCCGCTGGCCATGAGCTCAACGTGAATGGATCAATGATAGACGTGAACTAAGGTGTCTCTAAACAGCCATGTGAAATGACAATGGGCATCCATGGGCTGATGATGCTGTCGTGACCGGAGGCTCACAGGAACCTAACCCTGGGTTTCTCCCAGGAGCAATGGCTCAGCACTGGCAGTGACTTCATGGACCAAAACGACTGCGAACAAGAACCGACCGTGCCTGCTTCTCTCTTAGGTCGCTGTCCAGCCCAAGCTCCCAGTGTCCAGCCAGGCCCCAGAAAGGCTGCCGATCCCCTTCCTGTCCCCTTAGCTAACAGGAGAACAAGCCGTGTCCCTCTTGCAACCTCCCTGGGTGGATCCCACTCACCCAGGCTGCCGTCCGCAGCCCTGCGCCGAGGGTTGCCAGGGTAGGAGCTGTAGTACTGGGAGCCACCCTTGATGCCTGGAGGGGATAGCGGCCCAGGGCTGCCGAGGGCCAGCTCGCCCGGCAGGAAGCCAGCCTGGGGGGTGGGAGGCAGGTCATCAGGAGGCCCCGGGTGGCCATCCACCCCCAGACCAATTCCAGTTTTAAAAAAAAAAAAACCAATTGCAAAGGCCAGCCCCAGGGACCCATCTGAGGGTGACTGTGCCCTCAGGCTGCTGCAGTTGGGGGGTGTCCCCTTCCACCTGCCCTGGATGTCCCTTTCGCAACACCTGCCCTGCTTCTCTGACCTGCAGCACTATGGACTGCAAGCCGCCCTGCTACGTACATGAAGACTGAGAAACAGAAACTGTTGCCGGTAAGTCTGAGAATGCAGCCTGGATTCCAGGAAGCTAAACGTGCAAAACTGCGACAGTGGCAGCGAGACCTAGTTGTTTTACCCTTTTAAAAAAAAAAACCTGCACGGTTAAATTTAGCATATGCGCATATGTGTGTCTGTAAGGGGCTTTCCTCCCTGGGGAGCAAGGGCCACCCTCAGCTCCCAGCACTGAGTCACGCGACGTCTCTGCATGGTCTGGGCTGTACGGCCCGGCTTGCCAGCCTGAACCCACTGTGTGGCTACCCTGGCGCCACCAGAGACCAGGGCTCAAGACCTAGTACTGCCCAGCTCTGCTTCTCCTGTCAGTGGTCCCGCTGCACCGTGTCTTTGCCTTCTTTACGTGGGCCCGTTTATGTCAGCTGTTCCGGGGGCGTAGGAGGGACTGTCGGGGTTGGCTGGGGTAACTTGGCCAGGGCCTGGTACCCAGCTGGTGCTCAATGATTGCAGCAGCCGGCCTGGAATAAAGGCTGGGCTCTGCCATGACATTCGGGAGTCACAGGTGGGGACAAGAATCAAATCCTCGGAGGAGAAGAGGACCTGAAGGGTGACCAGGACAGGTGGTCACACAGGGACCACTAAGGCTAGTCACTGTTCCTGTCAGCCTCACAAATTGGGGTCAGTGTGGATGAGAATTTCACCAGGGCTGGGCGCTTCTCACATGGGCTCCCTGGGTGGTCCCCACCTGTGAACGGCTGCTAAGTTGGCCTCAGTTTCTGTGTCTGCCACTCAGGGGTGGGCAGGCATCTCTGAGCCCCTCCAGCTGCACATGGTGTCCCCCCCAGACCTAGTGCCCAAGTAGGGGAGCCATGGGACAAGGGCTGTGGCCTCCCCTGGCCCTGCCCACCTCCTCCTCCTCCCCATCCACACTCGGCCAGCACAGACAGGGCTGGGGCCTATCTTAGCTGCCACTAGAGAGAACACGGCTAGGAAAGTTTCCACAGATCAGAAAGGAAATTGTCACAACACAGACACACACACACAAAAAGTAGAGGGTTGGGGGTGAGAGGCAGGGAGCCCAGCCTAGTCTGCGGCCCCTGGTCACCCTGAGCGAGTGGCTCCTGCCTGCGCCCGCCCCGCCCGCTGCTAGGTGCTGACGGGGCACCTCACCTGAGTCAAGCCACCAGCACCCGCGTCTCTCCCGAAGGTGGTGTAGGCACTCCGCTCGCCACCCTTGCCTGGAGGAAAGGAAGAAAGGAAAGTCACTTGGGAGTTGACCCCAAGCAGCATCTTCAGGGTCTGTTGGGGTCAACCCAGTGCCTGGCACATGTCTGTAGACAGCAGGAACTCGGTAGGGGTGTATGACTGAGAGAACCATGATGGGACACTGGCTTTCTCTGGGCCAGTCTCCTGGTTTGCCTGGTGACGGGCTTGGGGACACAAACAGGTCCCCAGATGATTGTGGGGCCAACTTGTACTCAGCATTCTGCAAACTCCAATGGGCTGGAGCCTGTCCTGCCAGGGCCCCACATGTACCCTTGCCATGGTGGTGAGACTAAGCCAAGCTCAGTCCAGCCTCAGCCTCTTGCTGCCTGTGCCTAAGCTTGATGGGCCCTGTCCTTCCAGAGCCTCAGTTTCCCTGCTCACAGTTGTGAGGTTCTGACTTCCTGGAGCATGGGACTCACCCGCATTCATCTGTTCCAGGAGACAGGCATGGGGGTCCCTCGTGGGAAACCCATGCGGAGCCTGTGGTCTTGTGTACACGCGACCGCCAGGTTCAGTACCCAGGCCCCGTGACACTCCGAGGTTCTCTGAGCTCCCTAGGACACAGGTTCTACTCCTAGCACTCAGCTGGGCCAACAGGGCAGCCCAGCCTTCCTGCCAGTGGTTAGTTCACCAACAAGCACGTGACTCCCACTTTGCTGGTGAGTACCTCCCTGGGGACGTCAATTCACACCCAAGGAGAATGAGCAGGGAGGCCTGGGGCTGTGCAGAGGACTCCTGCTGCTGCATGGGCCCCTGCATCCAGCCTTGCCTGAAGCAGGATCCCTGATTATTCAGGGCCTGAGCCATTTAAGTCCCCTTTTGGCTCAGACTGGGTGCCAAATGTGACCAAAGGGGAACGGTGAACAGCCACGCTGTGACCGAGAAGTCACAATGCTCCATCAAGTAACTGGAATTACTCTCAAACGAGAGGGAAAATTTCCCAATTACTTTATTTTAAAAATACAACAATTTCAGGGAGATTCCAGGAGCAAATACTGCTGGGGTCTGGTGTTCCTCCCTCGTTTCCTCATCACAGTGAGCCTATGGGAGGTGGGGAAGAGAGAGGCCACGCTTACCCCGTCACACCAGGTGCCCCAGGCCACATGCCACAATAGCGGCTACCAGCCCCAATCCATGGGTGAGGAAATGGGGGCTGGGGGAGGCTGGAGGTCCCGGAGCTGGTGAAAGGATGCTCCTTGCTGCTAGCCCCTTGGGACCCCCACCTGCCCTCTCCCAGCTCCTCAGCCGCAGGCCAGGCCCCACCTGCAGGAGCGTGTGGGGGACCGGGACAGGGCCACAGCTGAGCCCTGGGCACCGCTGAATAGGCCCAGCCATGGGAACTGCCCTGGCCACCCCCGGGCCACAGGAAGCATGAAGACTAGGAGGAAGGACAGCCAGAGGGAACCCAACCTCCCGCGGCGCAGAGGCCACCCCAGGCTACAGGGTGAGGCTGGGCCTCGCCTTCCTCAGCTGGGAAATGGGCACAAAACTCCTACCACACCTGTGGGGAGGGGAGGGTGGTGAGGCTCAGCAGGGAGCCTGCAGGGGTCACCTGGTGGGAAAAACAGCACACGGGACTACCATGCAGACCAGATGGTCCCTGGAGGATGGAGCCTTGGTCAGGCCCCGAGCAGTCACAGACCGTGGGATGGTCACTTCCTGCTGAGCCTCTGGGTGCTCACCTGCATCGGGGGCTGGGATATCACAAGGATCAGCACCAACTGGGTACCATGAGTACAGGTGGCTGCCTCCTACACGGAAGGTTCCGTGAGAATCCCTGTGTCCCACAGGTGAGGAAACTGAGGCTTGAGAGGAAATGGTGCTTGCCTGGGGTCCCCAGTGGGTAGAGCAGAACTTGGACCCAGGCCTGTCCAAGCCTTGGTTCTCTTGTTAAGATGATGACCCCCAGGGAGACAGGGTGGGTGGGCCGCAGAAGGGCCAGGACTCCTGAGTCTATTTCCCAGCAGGGCCCTGGCCAGTTCCTAATGACCACTCCCCTTAGAAGCAGGAGAGCCCCCCAACAACCCCAGGAGGGAAGTGGGGTGCAGAACTGCCTTCCTGCCTCCAACTCCCAGACAGAGAAACAGAGTCGCAGAGTTCCCACACCCAGGGGAGTCTGGGCCGTGTCCAGCTGCACTCTGCTCCGAGGCCGGGCAGAGGCTCTTGCTGCCAGTGATCTCTGAGTGGACATTCCGGAAGTGCCCAGGACTCCACTGCCCTGACCGCACCTCGAGGCCTACCATTTGTGCACCTATGGGAGAAGCCCCATGCTGGACGCCAGACACTCACCTCCAAGTCCGGGTCCCAGGAATGTGGACGAAGAGAGGCCACTGTGGGACTCACTGAAGTGGGCACCCTCACTGTAGGTCTAGGAGAGACAGGGTGGGGGTGAGCAGTGCCAGAGGCTTGGGGGTGGGGGGCCAGGGCCCACCCCTATTACAGCTGGGAGGCAAACATATTTTCTGTGCCAGACTCAGGACTCGAATGCGAGTCTCCAAGTCTGAACCCCCCCAGAAAACAGGTTGGCGTCTGACCCCCCCCCCCATTTTCTCTGCCTCCGTTCACTCATACACCCCCACCCCAGGCAAGGGAAACCCAGGATCTAGGGTCTCGCAGGGGTTTCTCACCCGGCTGGGGTCAAAGGATGAACTGTTCTGGTCACTGGTGCCCCAGGAGCCTGAGCTGGGCCGGTCATCAAGACCTGCAGGGCAAAAAGGAGAGCACTGGGGCCCACTCCCATCCCTGACTGGCTTTAAAGCCAGCTTTGGTCCCTGTGTCCTTCAGGTAAGCCTCACTGGACCCAGAGGGCTACTGGAGCCCTGCGTAACCAGCCCATCACGACACCATAGTCAGAAGCAAACACTCCAGACACGCTGGTTCTCAGTGTACCTACAGGTCTGCTACCTGTGTTGGCAACCTCCTACCCACTCTTCAAAGCCCCAGTCACCACGCCCACCCTGGGCAGAGGCTTCACTTCCATGCTGAGCCTCCTCCCCACTCTGGTCCAACCAGGACCACGTGGAGCTGGGGTGTCTGCATCAGGCACGATCTCTGACCTCTTCTGACCCTGGCAAGAGGCCCGCATGGACATCAGTGAGTGGGTGATGAACGCCACCAACGCAGGAAGCAGGGCCATCCTTTTGTTGAAATCACAGCAGTGGGTGCCAGAGACCAACCACCAGGCACTCGGCTGGCAGCCCTGCGAGGCTGGAACCAAATCCCCCTTAGACATCGGCATGGGCGGGGGCGAGGCTGACCCAGGGCTCCCGTTGCCTTTGAAGGAGGCCATAGGCCAGCAATGTGGCAGGAGTTAAACAGCACAAGGACAAGGACCTTGCTCCCAAGGGTGGGGTGGGGCAGGGTGGGGCTCTTATCTCTCTGAACACTCTCACAGGCAAACTGCCCGTCCAAGACTCCAGAATCTTCTGCACTGAGCAGGCAGTGCCTGCTTGGATCCTCCTGGGGCAGGTACTCTGTCCCCATCCATAGGGGGCCACAGAGCACTAAATGTAAGAGACCAGCCCCTGCGCTCCCTCAACCTGGCCACAGGGCCACGCTCCGCGCCTCGGTTTCCCTCTTCTGTAATGGGGTTACAAACAGACTTGACTTTGCAGGACTGGGGTGTCCATGGCCAACTTCTGAGGCCAGAGGCACCCCTAGAGTCAGGCTGCGGGGAGACAGGGCTGATGGGGCCTGACTCTGCCAGGCCCAACCTGGGGCTGCTCCCTCTCCACCCTGTGACCCCACACTGCAGCCACACACCCCGGCCAGCTCCTTTACCCCGCCCTTCTGCCCTCCCCTGCTCATCCCCACCAGAAACTTCTTTCAAATTGCATCCTTCTATTTCGGTGCCTTTGTGTTAACCATTCCCCTCGGGGAATTGGTGTTTAATTGCTGTTTAATTTGCATGGTTGTGCATATTAATTCCACACCTAATGAATATTCATATAGCTCATTTAGATTTTGTTTTCTAATCAAAAAATTTCCAATGTCTTTATGGGAGGGGGCTGGTATGCTGCCTAGGCGGGTAGGGGACGAGGCTCCTGGGGTCTCCAGAATCCACCCACCATTTGTCACTGGGTTTGGAGTGTCTGCACCCAAGATGCCAGATCCCCACTTGGCCCTGGGAGATGGGCTGGCTGGCTGTGTGAGCTTGGGCAGAGCACCAGCACCCTTTGGACCTCAGTTTCTCTCTACATCCCCTCCCCACCGGCCGCGGCCACCACCTGAGAAGCGAGTCCTTGCTCTTGTGCCCCCCACACCCAGGAGCATCTACAACATGCCCCTGCAGGCGCCAGGACCCTCGACCCCAAGATCGCAGCTGGGGTGAGCCTGAGTGAGAACTGGAATCTGGGAACCACCCACACCCACAGCCCTTGGCCTCCCCCTCCTAGAAATAACAAAAAAAAAGACAGTCCCTCCCCCACTGCCATTAATAGTTATTAAACACCCCCTGATTAATTACGCATTTTGATAACCCAGTCATGAATATTCATAATGCATTTCTTGTGACTGCTCTAATTGAAACTTATTAATAGGAAAAGACGTTGCTGTTGAATGTAATATTTCTATGGTTTCTCTTTTCTCCCCCTTAAATGCTGGAGTTGAACAGCTGAAGGACAGCACCCTGAAAAGAAGGCCTAGAGGCAGAGGGTGCAGAGGGCACTGGGGGGTTGAGTCACCCCGGAGCAGTTCAACCAGGGGTGATGAGGCCACCCACCTCCCCAGGTTGCTGCGAGGATTACGATGAACACTGCAGAGTGGTGGCTTCCTGGCCCTGGTCCCAGCTGGTCACCTCTTCACCCTGTGACTGTGGGCTGGCCTTTGCCTGATGTCCCATTTGAAAATGAGGATGGGGGCTTCAAGAGGCACTCAGTCAACACTGGTCAGGACCCAGGGCCCATATCCTGTGCTCGATTCCTTTGGCGGGGTTGGCAAACTGCAGCCGGCCCTCGGCCTGATTTTGTAAATGAAGTTTCATCAGCGCACAGCCACGCCCACGTGTCCACACGCTGTCTATGGCTGCTTTTGCAGAGTTGAGTGTTGTGAATAGAGACTATCTGGCCCTTTACAGACAAGGTCAGCCGACTGGGGGATGAAGGAAGATTGCCAGAGTTGGTTTTGGGTTTCTGCTGCCTCCATCCGAGCCTGATGAACAGACTTCAGTACCAGGAGTGGGTTACGGTGCTGGACAGGCAGATGTCATGGTAGACAGGAGCCCTGTGCACAGCCCTTTCCACTGCCCCCACCCCAAACACTTAGGCACACCACCAGGTTGGTCTGGCTTCAGACTGGCCTAGGGACTTCATCCTGCAGCCCCAGCTCTGGAGTGTGTCCCCTCACCTAGGTGCTCAGGAGAAAATCCTGGAGTCGTCCCGTCTCCTTCCCTCCCTTCCGTGGCCCACCACATGAGGCTTCACAACTGGTCAGTCTGACAGCTGCAGCCCTGGGTCAAGCCCAGTCCCCGCTGCAGTTCCTCCCCGGCCTCCTGCTGACCTGGCAGCTTCATGGAGCTTTTAGAAGGACAATCTAGTCTGGCCCTCCTCCCTTCCTCGGATCCCTCCCAGGGCTCCCATAGCCTTGAGGGTAAAGACCAAACTCCTCCCTGGCTTCACCACCCTCCTCTCTGCCCATGCTGCTGCCTGAGCTCTGCCCTGGTGGTCTCCACAGCTGCTGATTCTTCAGGCACTGAAGTTGCCTTGCTGGCCCCTCCCAGCTGAGGGCCACTCTCTGCGTCCCCAGCACAACCTGGTGCAGGGCTGGGCCCCCACAAACATATCTCCTCCCCTTTTTCATTTCACTCATAAATAACATGAACTGTGTCTCTAACAGCGCTTCCTGTGGCAGTCAAAATGTTTTCTACCTGCACAGTCCAATAAAGTAGCCACCTGCAGCTACTAATCACTTGAAAAGTGGCCAGTGAGACTGGGGGGAAGGAGGGAGCTTCTGATTTAATGTAATTTTATTTTTATTTTTTTTGCCTTTTTCATGACCGGTAAGGGGATCACAACCCTTGGCTTGGTGTCGCCCGCACCGCGCTCAGCCAGTGAGCGCACCGGCCAGTCCTATATAGGATCCGAACCTGTGGCGGAAGCGCCGCTGTGCTCCCAGTGCTGCACTCTCCCGAGTGCGCCACGGGGCAGGCCCGTAATTTTATTTTATTATTTGTGTGTGTGTGTGTGTGTGGATGGGGGATCTAAACCCTTGACCTTGGTGTTACACCACCACTCTCTAACCAACTTGGCTAACTGGCCAGCCAACTTTACATAATTTTTTTTTTCTTTTCCTTTTTTGTCTTTTTTCGTGACCGGTAATGGGATCGCAACCCTCGGTGTCGCGCCCGTACCGCGACCGGCAACGGGATCGCAACCCTCGGTGTCGCACCCGCACCACGCTCAACCAGTGAGCGGACCGGTCTCTATATGGGATCCAAACCCTCGGCGGGAGTGCCGCCGTGCTCCCAAGCGCCGCACTTGAGTGCACCATTGAGTGCACCACCGGGCCGGCCCACATAATTTTATTTAATGCAAATGTAGACAGCTGTGCGTGGCCAGGGGCTGCTGTCCTGGATAGCACAGCCCCAAGAGATAAAGACTAAATAATAACTGCTACCACCACGTACCACGAGGGAATCTAAAGGAAACTAACGGCAAGGCCTTAATAACTGCAACAATTCGGGCGGGGCTCACATAAGTCTGTTCAGCTCAGAAGCCCAAGGGGGCACGCAGTGCTCATGGCCAGCACAACCCCCTGTGTCCATCAGCTCTTCCTCTGTCCCTTTTCTATTCCTCCTAATTAAATCAGGAGGAAGCAAGTGGTGGCTGCCCAGCTGCCTGGCCTGGGTCTGGCCCCTGAGGCCCAGGATGCTTCTCTGACCCACTCCAGTCACCTGGGGGCTCATGGAAGGGTGAGATCAGACCCTGGTTTGGGGGCAGCCCTTCCTCAGGTGGGCTCCCACCATGAGCCTAGAGAGGACTGTGATTTTTTTTTTTTTGGAGGGGAGAAGGAGCAAATTTAATTTTTGTGTAAGGGCAAACTTAGGGAAAAGCTACAAGGACGAGACCAAGACTTGCCCTTAGCCAGATTCACTGACTTTCGTCCCTCTTAGTGTAACTTTTCTTGGTGTTTTTTTGGTCTGCAGAATTTGAAACTTTAGCAAGATTCCTGAGGTTTGCAGTGGCCACAGGCTCTGGCTAACAGGCTCCTGGCGTCCTGAAAAGCATCAGAAGCGTTGCCAGCAAGGACGTGGGAAAGACGCCAACCGCAGGCCAGACTCCGCGTCACGGCAGGGCTGGAGCAGGCTGGAGGCGTCCCTGCAGCAGCTCAGAGCCCTTCCTGTATCTGCCCCTAATATTTGGGGGAGCGGGGGGTAGAAAGCAGGGCCCCTTGGCCCACCCGAGCAAGTGAACGAATCTGGGGCTGGAGGAGGAGGCCATATCCCACCCTATGAGTGGGGGGCCCTGGAGCCCCCAAAATGGCAAAATGTTCCCTCAAGCAGAGCAATAGCAAAGTTGTGTGGGTCAAATGGGCAGCCTCATCCACCAGAAACAACTAGGGGCTCCTCTCCAACCCCCAGGGGGTTCCCTGGTAGACAGGGCTGGCCCTGGGGGTGGGGGGTGGGGTGTCCAGCAAATACATAAAATAAAAAAAAACAATTCACAGAGAAACAGGGTCACCCACTGCAGAGGCTGACCCTGCCTG